GGCTTTGATGAATCATCAGATTTTGGAGTCACGGTTTGAATCGAGGGTGGATGTTTGGTCTCGTTTGCCCCGTCTGTCTCGTTTGCGTTGTCCGTTTGGTTTTGTTCATTGCATTCGCCTAAAGGTAACTTCTGCATATTATTTAAGTACACCATTAACATTTCTTACACACATGCACACGTGTCATTAGCGTAAGATTAGCCGAACTGATACATCAGTACGTGTCCCCTTAGCCATTGATCCAGGATCTCAGTCGCTCTGACATTGCCATTATGCACCTTTTGGGGATACCAAATCTTGGCTGTGTTGCACGCACTATCTCAGTAGGTTTGACGTGGGCATTCAGAACTGCATTTGGAGAAGAGACACCTAGACCCAGATCTGAACATCAGGCTCGCGGTGGCCGTTATGACCCCCCCCCCCCAAACTGGGTGCCGCGACATGCAGTGCAAATATATATGTGTGTGTATAAATATATACAGTAAAACCTTGGATTGCGAGTAATTTAGTCTGCGAGTGTTTTGCAAGACGAGCAAAAATGTAAAATTAAATATTAATTCGATAAACGAGCGAGAGGGTCTTGCAATACGAGTAGTGTACGTGTACGCTTTGTCTGCCGAGCGTCACGTGATCACAACTGATCTACGAGTGCTTTGATATACGAGTGCTTTGGATTACAAACACGTTTCCGGAACGAATTATGCTCACAATGCAAGGTTTTACTGTATGTGTTAAGTACAACCACGCGGAGACGATGAATACTATAAGGGCTGTTGCCGTTTAATAAACACTTCCACACTCGGCATCCTACACTCACACCAGTGTAGGTGCACTCTATCTCGGTCCTTCACCCCGGACACTGAATATTATTTGGACCCTACCCTCGGCTATCCCTTTGGCTCTCTGACTCAACACCGCTCCGCAACGAGGAAAGAGAGACCCTCTTCCAGCCGGTCCTTACCCCGGCTCCCCACGACGACCTCGCCCCCCGTCACGGGGTCCCCCTTAAGAACCCCATGGGCGGCTCCTCCCTCCAGCTCGGCCCCGCCCACGTTCCCGAAAGTGCTTTCCGAAAGCCCCCTACGTAATACGTGACGTCATCCTTGACTCTCAATCCGCTCGCACCCCTCATTGGTTACTCACAATACTCCTCTACATATGTGAACAGTGTAGATGTCTTGGGTGTACAGTCATTATGTGTAGTTATGTCCCATGTGCAATTACGTGTGGGGAGCAGTAGCGTAGTGCTTCTGCATGCACTGCATTACGAACTCGGCAACCTGGATTTGATCGGTGTTCGTTATCCGATCACATCCTGTATGCCTCCCAAGGAATTGGATAAACATCCCAATGTAGGACGACAAGAGCTTGGACAATTGTTGGCGCCAGTTCAGGCTGCCTTCCCGATTTTTTCTGTGGCTTCCCCCGAGTATGGCGTGGTGCAATATCTACTCGGAAGTGTGGACAGGTCTCTGGCTAAGCTCACGCTTGGATGACAGAAATAGCTCAGCATTGTGCCCACGGCCTGGACACCCATTGGTTAGAGATGCTTGCGGCGACAGTCGTAATTGGTCGAGACTGAGCGGTGATTGGCTTGACTTGCTCGTGTGGAGGGGGAATGAATCGTCTACCCAGCAGGCAATTGCTCACTAGTAAATTTTGCACGCTTTTCAAATCGAGCAGCTGGTTGTCGGGAAAACAGTGTGCATATTTACGGGGCCTGAGAACAGAAAAATCACATAAAAGCCACCAGGAGATTGACGCGTGTTCCCGTACATCCTAACGAGGTTGCAAAAATGGACGGGTGGCAATGGTCGCTCGGGATTACTTCACTGCATTAGCCAATCAACTGCACGGAAAAGACGACCCTCATGCAGCATGGCCACTGCGAAAGTCCCTATGCAACATGGCTGCCATGACATCACTTCATGTGCATAAGCCAGTCTGTGGCTGAGATAAGTTGTATTTTTATGTTAGTAATACATTTGAAAGTAATGTGATTTCGTGTGCATTCGTTTGTGCGAGTGTGAGAGATTGCACGCATGCAATTTTTCGCCGTATTTCCGCGGGAATGTCTTCGTGTGCGCGTGCTTTTTAGTCTTTTGTATCTTGTGCGTCTCATCGTGTGCCCTGTTGGCCTTAATAGGAGTTTGTGAGAGCGTTTGCGCGTGCTCGTGGACCTGAGCTATGGCAAACGTTTCTGGTCAGGGGTGGCCTCGACCGCTCCTAAGTCCTCACGGAATATACGCACATTTTTGTTGCGCCAAATACCCGTTTGGAATCGAGAAATTAGGACGAGTCTTTGCCTATACAATTTCTAGAATTAACTTGAATTGCGTAAGTCATTTGGGTACTCGGGCCCCTTGCTTTGGAACAATTAGGTAGGCAGGCATGTGTAATACCTGATGCTTCTGTTGTTGTGGAGTAACTCATGCAGCCAGCTATGGCTCTAAGATTTGGTGTTCCATGCTATTTACGTAGTTTATTGTAAAAATTCGGTCACAGTCCCTATGATCACTGTTACGTTGCAATTATGGCTTTATTTTTTGGTGATTTCGAAAACGTTTTTTGGTTTGGACATGTTTGTTTTATTGTAGTACGGAGTTAGACTGATGGCCTTAATCTAAGCTTTCTTGTGGTTGTTGTTGTTGTTGTTTGACTTGCATCCCACTGGGATTTTTTGCACACAGCGTTGGTGTACGGTGCTTTTTTCAGGAATATTTTGCTGTTTTTTTCATGGATTTTCTGTTTGCACAGTCACATAGTCACTGTAAGATGTTGTTCTTGTTCGTGTTTTTGTTTTTATTGTTTGTTGTGGTTGCACCCGATTCAAGAGCCGAATGGCTCACAGGGCTATACCAAAATAAATGAACTGAAAACTAAACTGAAAACTGCAACCTAAGGGGGGAGGCTGCGCTTGCATTGGCTAAGGATGGATAGGGCTGTACATAAGAGGAAGCTCACGACGAGCAACAGAACCAGCAGCAGTGGGGACTAAAGGGCGAGTGCAGTTTGACTCAACAGCTCGAAAGGTAATACCTGCACATGATTTACTTGCATTATAAACCGTTCCTTTGCACATACACGCGCACACACATTTCAACGTACGTCTCGTGAGAGCATTAATGGATTAACTGATAAATCGGTAGATGTGTCTTAGCTGGGAACGACTGGGAACTGCCTTCCTTTACGCTGTGGGTAATTTCCTACACTACACTTTGTAGTTTAAAATGCTGTTGTACATCAGGGTCCTTGAAGTAACAGGGGGACCCCCTGTCTGAGTTCGAGTGGCCGTCGGGACCACAGTTGGTACCGGAGTATAGCCAATGTATCAAGGTCAAGAACAAGGTCAATTCAAAGGGCAGAACGGGAATGGGGTGGGATTAAGTACGAGGACCAGGAGCTTTTCTCAAAGGGCAGAACGGGAATGGGGTGGGATTAAGTACGAGGACCAGGAGCTTTTCTCCGCAGCGCTTCCCTACGCAAGGATGGAGCGGTGGAACCTGTGAAGCCGGAACCCTTGTGTTGCGGACAGGGGTGAGATTCATTGGTGAACCGAGCTGCTCGACTATGGGATCGGCAGTGCTGAGCGGTCTCGAGTTATTGTGCGGTGTGGCATAGGTAGTGCTGAATTGCGGTTGAGGTGCGCAGGTGGATTGTTGAGGTGGCGCGTGAGGTCGCTTCCTTGTGATGACGAGTGAGAGTTGGGTGGTGTGATTGGGGTCTGGTTGCAATGGGTGTGGTGGGCCCTAGAGATCCAGCAATACTAGTGTAGAGGAGTAATGGGAGGAAGTGAGGGCATCGGCAGGAAAGAGCTGGATGACATCATAGGGTGACGTCATGTTACCTAGAGGGGAGGGTTATTTAATTGGGACCCCGGGCCGGGTGGCGGGGTCGTTGTGGGGAGCCAAGGGAACGGAGGTCTCGAGGAGACGGGAGACACGCCGCTCGGCACCGAGACCCTAGGCCGAGGAAAGAGTAGGATTCGTGGGGAGCTTAGGTGAGGATAGGCCGAGGAGTTAAGCGGGTACCGGGACGGTCCACGGGAAGGACCAAGTGTAGAAGTGTCTACCTCTGGTGTGATCCGGTGATTCTGTACGTGATTGTAGTAGTTAATCAACTGGCAATAGCCCTTACAGAGAATCTCGTCTACCGTGTGAGTTTACACCACTACTACACTGGTGCTCCAGAACCCAAGAAGAGCAGAACCAAGGGTGGGGTAAAATCGCGAGTGTGTGTGTGCGCGAAGCTCCCGTGCAATCCAAATTGCTTTGCTGGATGGTGGGGTCTTCCCGATATCCGGAAGGCTATTCCAAACAGTCGTGGTGCCTCGCGACGGTTGAGGCAGCCTTCATTCATAGTGTGTGTCTGTGTGTGCGAGTTCGGGAATGTGACAGGGCGTAGGCGTGAAGGATGTGTGCCCAGCCGTAATTTCTCTTTCTCTTTGGGACAATTTGGACAGTTTCCACTTTTCCGCTCACTGTCTAAAACCTCACCACTCGTTGGAAACCCGTGGTGGCCTGACTACAAGATGAAGACAAAACCACCCCGAGCGAGCGTTGTTAGAGGTGACAGCTAGTCTCGCGTTCCCCGTGCCACTCTACCCATCGCACACGCACAAGTGACCTGGTTGACCAAATGACACTAATGACACCGGCCACGGATAATCACATCACATCAGCCACCCCCCACAGCACGAACGCCACACGTTACAAATATTTCAGCATTTTGAGATGCAATCTGCTTTGAACTACACGATGTAAAATAATCATCACTCCCCTCGGGCGAATCGGCCTTACGTGAGTACCTGGTGCAGTGTATAAACATCGTCAGTGGGGGAAACAAAGGCGGCTGGACGTGGTGCTGGCAAGACCACCCCCCACCTCGTCAGCCGTTGCCAGCCTACACAGGCGCTGGCTACAGAATCGCCCTTTCCCCCCCCAGCGGTCTGTTTCAGGCTCTCTGGGGCACCTTTGTCTGTGCGTATTTTTCGCGTGCAGAAATGGAGAAGAGGCCACCTGGCACCGCACGGACGACCCAACGGAACCGGAAGCCGAGCGCCTCCCGGCGGAGTCGCTGGGGCGGCTGCGGGGGTGGCGTCGTCACTTGCCTCATGCTCACGGGAGCCCTCGTGCTCTCGGTGGTGCTGGCGTACACGCTGGGGCTCACCGACACGGTGGCAGGCACGGACATGCGCGCGCACTCACAGTCGCACACAAGGTTACAAGCAAACATAGACACACACACACGCCATCAAACAAAGAAGTGAGCGGTATCTCGCTGAATCGAGCATTAAGGCGGTGCTCACCTGCTGTGTTTACAGCCCTGAGCCAGTTATGAATAGTGGGGGGGGGGGGGGTCCATTTATAGCACTTCCTCATAAAGTAGTACTCCATTTTGTATAGCCAATGAAGAGCAGGGTCTGTTCGAAGTGATTGAGACACGCAGCGTGACCTGATTTAGAATGGAAACACGATTGGGCCTCCTTATCCCCCCACGACCAGGAGTTGAACTCGCAACCTTCCAATCGAGAGCCGCTTGTGCTACCGTGGAGCCATCTGACTACATTTTACATGTATAATAATTACGCACAGACACACACGCGTACAGCACACAGACACACGTGTGTGTGCAGCGCACATGCGTACGCACATGAACGGACACACACGACACATTCCTTGTACAGCCTTTTGACGGACTGTTGTGGAAGGGGCTGTTGGCGCATACTGATACACGTATATAAATACACACGCAAGCGTACAGACCCATGTACACACAGACATGAATACAGACATTATACTACACATGCACAAGCACACAAGTGCTCACATGCTTGGACATATGCGTTGATGCGTATGAACATTGAGCATTGATGTGTACTGACTTTACAAAAGAAACAAGCACAAACACAGAAAAATCACACTAACTCACACATCATAGACAAAGACAAAGATTCCCCATATAGCCTTTAACATACTGTTAGGGCAAGTGCTGTTCGCGAGCACCTATGAAGGTTGGCATGGCACACGATATGGTGGGTGGCCACCACCACGCCCGGCTGCCTTTGTCTGCCCAGTGGTGATGTTTACACGCCGCACCCAGGTACTCATTTTAGGCTGAGTCGACTTATGACCAGTTCAGATAATTGGCATTGGTGTTGGCCGTGAGCGGGAATCGAACTTGGGTTAGCGGGTTCTTAGCGCAACGCGCTAACCGCTACACTTCCGCTCCCAATTTGTGCCTGATAGACAAAACAAACACGCCGTCTGTTTTCTTTTTCCGTAGCCAACTAAGTGCTTGTGTTTTAAAATTTCAGAAAAGCTCACCGATTATGACATGGACGGGGACAGGGATTTCGACGTGGAAGATGTAAAGAAAATATTTCAAGGTAAGGGCTGCGATGAGGCTAATAGCATGCGTGCCCACCAGACCCACTCACCTACCTACCCAGAAATCTATACCTTATGCTGCCTTCTAACCTACCTACATCCTCATACCTTACTTGACACCTCCATTTTCGTTTATCATTTCACTCACCACCCACACTCATCCACCTACTTACCCTACCCCCTCATATAGTCATCCTGATACCCATTCACTCACCTACTTATTTAAGAAAACACTCATTATTAACTCGCCCATCCAATCACCCACCCACTCATTCATCCACCTACCCACTGACTCACTCACCAACCCTAACTCATGCATTCGGTCACACACGCGCTCACTCACCTACTCATCCACCAACTGACCAACCCACTCACTCATCCACGTGATCACCCACCCACTTACTCACTTTCCAACCCATTAATTCAACCACTTACTCGCTCACAAACTCATCCATCCAATAACCATTCATCCACCCATTCACTATCTCACTCAACCATCGAATCAGCCAATCGCCCATCCACCCTCCCAACCACTGACTCGGTGCTGTGGTGTTGCTCCACATCCTCCTTGCTGCAGACAAGCTGGACTGGGACGGAGACGGTGACGTGGATGGGGAGGACATGCACACCCTGCTAGCAGGTGTGTGAACTGTCTGTCCTATCTGACTTTGTGGAGCTCTTGTCTGGCTGCCCTGTAGCAGATTCAGAGGGGGGAGGGTGACTGGTTGGGAATTTGGCATGTACCGGTTTATCGATCCGCTGTTTGAAATAATTTTGATTTAAAGCTTTTGTGACTGCAGGCATTCATACTTTTTCGGTCTTTCGGTTAAGTCACGTAAATAGAAATAATAGATCACAACGTTTCGATCGCAACACAAGCAATCGTCTCACCTGAAGACGATTGCTTGTGATGCAATCGAAACGTCGTGATATATTGTTTCTATTTGCGTGACTTGACCGAAAGAGCCAAAGAGTTTGAAATAATTCGTTAGGTTCACGCAATCATCTGTTTAGGATTTTTTTGTAAATGTTACGTTCGGGCTAATGAAACGAATGAGATGATTCAAACTAGGTGGATATCTCCCGGGAAGTGGTGGCTACACACGAGGCCTGAAAATCCAGCACTGAAGGCAGCGAGGGTTGGTAGATCACTGCACTATTGTTACGAAACTCCCTTCCCGTGTCGAGGAGGTGCCATACCCTGGCTTGTCAGGTGAAGGCGGTACACGTGGGTTTTCTCTGGGTACTCCGGTTTTCTTCCACATGTAAACAATTAATTGGCTGAAAACACCTTAATATATCGGGGACTCATATTCTTGGTTCTTTCGGTAAAGTCACGTAGAAGGGAAACAATAAAATAATAATAAAATGCTCACGACGTTTTACAGGTGTGAAAACCACAGCAAGAAAAAAAGAACATTTTCTTGCTGTGGTTTTCACACCTGATGATGATTGCTTGTGTTGCAGTCGAAACGTCGTGAGCATTTTATTGTTTTATATTTTTATTATTTTATTGTTTCCCTTCTACGTGACTTTACCGAAAGAACCAAGAATATGAATCCCTGCAGTCACGAAAGCTTTAAATCAAAATATTGGGGACTGCTGAGCTTGGGCAGTTATTTGCATTGGCTCACCACGTGGCTGCCTTCCAACTTGTCCTTGATTCCTCCTTGTGCCTCAGTCATCCTCTGTCTCTCACTACGAGAGCGAGCCGATGCTGTGTGGTGCCACGTTGCAGGTTCAAATTGCTATTATTACTTTGGAGACAATGGTGGTTCATTGCCACTGATCTCTGAGCCAGGTGGCCACCTCAGTCCTTCACGGCTCGTGTTTTATGTTCAGCCATCCAGAGCAAGTTCACCGGCAGCGAGGAGTCTAAGGCCAAGGCTCCCTCTGCCGACACTGACGACCACCACCACCACCGACAACACGAAGATGAACAAGACCAAGACGTTCACAAGCCACTGGGTGACCACCACCACCACCACCACCATGAAGATGATCACGACCACCACCACCATGAAGGCGACCACGATGAAGGTGACGACCACCATGACCATGACCACCACCGTTACCACGGGCATGATCCCGAGCAGGAGGATGATGATGATGATGATCAAGATGAGGAGGCCCACCGTCATCATGAAGTCGATCACCAAGAGGATCGCCGTGATCAGGAGGGAGATGATCAACGTGAAGAGGACTACCTCCAACATGAGGATGGCCTTGATCAAGAAGATGATCGTGACGATGATGATGACGGTGATGAGCACCAAGAGGAGGTCGACGCTCAGCATGTGGAGCTGCACGCTCTGCATGAGGAGCTCCGCGTTCAGCATGAGGAGCTCCACGCCCAGCATGGGGAGCTCGATACTCAGCCTGAGGAGCTCGAAGCTCAACATGAGGAGCTCCACGCTCAGCATGAGGAGCTCCACGCTCAGCATGAGGAGCTCGATGCTCAACATGAGGAGCTCGATGCTCAGCATGAGGAGCTCCACGCTCAGCATGAGGAGCACCACGCTCAGCATGAGGAGCTCCACGCTCAGAATGAGGAGCTCCCCGCTCAGAATGAGGAGCTCCCCGCTCAGAATGAGGAGCTCCACTTTCAGCATGAGGAGGTCTACGCTCGGCATGAGGAGCTCCACGCTCAGCATGAGGATCACCATCATGGAGACGACCAACAGCACCACCACGACGATGGTCACCTGCAATCTGAGGGTGATCACCTCCACGAGGTCCACTCTCACAAAGAAGATGACCATCATGAAGAGGATGGTCATGACCATGGGGGTGAGCATCAACATGTGGAGGTCCACCTTCATCAAGAGGGTGACCACCATCACCACGAAGACGGTGTTGATGGGCACGAGATTGACCCACACCATGAAAAGGCCAACCCACACCACGATGGTGGCGACGCTGCCATCCACCCTGATGAAGTCAGCCACTTTCAGCACGAGCATTTACACCGCCCTGGAGAGGACGAGCAGGCCCAGGATGCGTCCAATCAGCCAGGGGACAACGGCGAGGAGGAGCATTCCCCGCCACAGGAGGTGGTGGAGGGTGAATCTCAACAGGTCCATGAAGATCATGGTGCGCAGCAGCAGGCGTCAGATGAGTCGCAGCAGGAGGAGGAGTTGCAGGTTCAGCTTGAGTCTGAGATCAGCGCAGAGGCTGTGTCGCAACACGAGGCCGTTGAGGCAGAAGAGGTCGGGACAGAAGAAGAGCAGAAGGCGGAGGATGGTGACGGCGGACTGCATGAGCACCATGCTGAATCCTCTGACGAGAATGAAATCCCCATGCAGCTGGAGGAGGATGTTGAAGCGGAAGGTGATCGTGACGACGACGACGACGACGACGATGAGGTCGACGCTGCCCCAGCAAAGGACGTCCCCGACCATCGCGGGTCGAGTGAGCAGGGTGGATTGGACGAGACGCATCCTCCGGAGAGCGTGGACTTGCCAGAGTCGAACGAAGCGGACGTTGAGGCCCACGGCGACGATGGCGACCGTGAGCGCAGCGCCGACTATCCACCGCAGCAGCGCGACGGGGGCAGCCACCATCACGAGGAGCACAAAGATGACGAGAACGCCATTCCTCTCAAAGAGGCGGATAACGGCGGCGGCGCAGCTGATTCAGGCGGTGGTGATGCTGGCGGCGGACAACCCGAGCTCCACCAGGAGTTGCGCAAGCTTCAGGATGAGGCTGATGGAGAAGTGGAGTTGGGGAGCGATTCTCTTCCTCCGCCACTGCCTGGCACCCACGGGGAGGGAGTGAGAGGAGGTGAGAGTCTAACGTGCTAAGACAACGATCACCCTCATAGCCTAAACCAACCGTTTTGGCAAGTGCTGTTGGCAAGTGCACCTATGAGGTACAGCATGGCACATGAAGGGGGTGGGTGCCCAGCATCGTGCCCTGCCGCATTTGTCTCCCAGGTGACGATGTTTAGACATCGCACGAGGTACAGTGCTCATTTTAGGCTAAGTCGACCTCGGGCATGCCCAGAACCGGTTTGGATTATTGTCACCAGTGTTGGTGGCCGTGCATGGGAATCTAACTCGGGTCGTCGGGTTTGTAGCGCAGCACGCTAACCACTCCACTACCACTCGAGCGTACACACACGCAGCTACAAAGACAAAGATCCCCCGTATAGCCTTAACAGACTGTAGGGGCAAGTGCTGCTAGCGAGCACCTATAAAGGCCGGCACGGTACACGAGGAGGCGGGTGGGCAACACCACGCCCGGCCGCCTTTGTCTCCCTAGTGGCGATGTTTACTCATCACACCAGGTACCCATTTGAGGCTGAGTTGACCTAGAGGAGGCCCAGGGCCGGTTCAGATAGTCGTCACTGATGTTGGCCGTGTGCGGGAATCGAACCCGGGTCGTCAGGTTCGTAGCGCAGCGCGCTAACCGCTACACCACGCAGCTACACATGCGCAGCCACACACACGCAGCCACACACACACCTTAATGCATCAGCCATACTCGCACGCGTATGGTTGCACTGCCCTTCCAGAGTTCTGAACGGATTCTTCGATGCCATGTGACATGCTACGGCACCAGTAGAAAAAAATGGGATACATATTTTTTATTTTTTTATATTTAAAGCACCTGACAACTCGTCTGTCTGTCCGCCCGTCTGTCTGTCCGCCCGTCTGTCTGCGTGTCCTCACAGGCCACTAGATGAGGAGCCCACAGAGCCGCAGAAGAGAGGGGCGAGGTGACAAGCCAACGTGTTAATGCTGCCACCAATGGCAACGTATATGTCTGTGATGCAATAATATAATGAATTTTTAAGAAAGGGTTTGTTTTGGATATGAATATGCAGTACACGTGTACTGACGGGGCTGCGCGCGTGGTGGATGCAGTGGCATTTTGGACGGGTCCGGGTTTCAGCATTGGCTCGGTGAATTTACCGCGGTCCCTCTAACTCAGTTCGCCGTCAGAGAGACGTCACAACAGTCGTTGGATTTACCGCAGACCCCCGCAAGGTGTGCAGTCTTGTTTTTGTGTGTCAATGCGGAAACACCCTTTTTGCTTTACGGCGTTTGTGGGGGGTCGAGAAGGGGGCGGGGGATGCGGTAGGGTAGGGTGATACCAAGTAGATTCACCAGCATTAAGACAATCCACGGTCTCCCTCTCTCGGAGGGGGACCGTTTCTTATTTTTTTAATGAATATACAGTACATTTTAAATGCAGTATGATGACACTAATAAGCAAGTGGGCCGTGAGAATGGGTCGTAGTGCGTGGGACGTGGGTGCTCGATAGGGGGAGGGGCAGATTACTACCTAGACTGGCATTGCAATGGCACCCAAAGGTGTGCAACCAATGGGAAGATCATAACCCGTCGTGGTGGCGGTGGCGGTGGTGGTGGTGATGAGACCGTAAAGAGCGGTCCTTGGCGGTGAGGTGTCGCCTCGACAACGGCTATGGGATCTAGCATAAGGAAGGCAGCAAATGGCTCCGGGTTGTCGCAGCATCGACAGGATAGCGCCATATCTTGTGACGGCTATTGACGTCGATTCACTGTAGGTTCACAATGGGCGGTCGGCAGGGATTTTGCGAATGCATCGCAGCCAGCCGGGCAGTCGTTCACACGCCCTCCCGCAGTCGAGTGGATTTGTAAAGATTTGGGGGTCGTGATTCGATCCTAGAATCGACCAGTTTTTTTTTGTCTCATTTGTATTGATTCTTGCCTCTGTTCAGCCTCGTTTGTTCCTCCTCAGTTGTCCAATTAGCCTCGAGGAAACGTCGACATTTACTTTGGATAAATCGCAAGTAATCGATGTCCGCACTCGTGCGACATTATTGGTGCTGCCTATACCTGTAAAAGATGCTTATATTCGCCAATGAACACCGATCGTTATGTTCATGATATAAGTGCATCGAATCGTAGACGTCAGGATGTATTTATCTGATGCATGATATTGAACGCATGTGATCTCATACTACGAATAACAAAGAAGCTCAACACGTATCGTCAATAATACTGTGTGGCCTTAAAAGAACAAAATACACAATAGGCAACGTTTCAGGCAATGATGCTTCTTCATAGCACATCACGCCTAACACAATTAGGCTAATGGAGTGATTGAAACTGAACTGAGGACACAGGAAAAGGGAAACTGTACAGAAGGGACAAACAAGAGCCAATTCTTGATTTGAATCGTGACGCCGAATCGCTCGAAGCCAGGTGCATGCTCGTATTCGAATCACGAGGAAAGTCGGGAGCTGAGATGGCCCCAACCACTCGGCCAGATTCGCTCGTCATTGGAATCTTCTTCATCACCGTGCCTGTTCTATCCACTGCTGGATGCAGGCCTCCCCCCACACCACCAAACTTCCTCGCAGTCCTGACGCTGCATTCCATCTTGCTTGTGCACGCACGAGGCGACTTCATTACGCCACCTTTCACGGCGGTCATCCTCTCGGACATATTTTTTTTTTCCCTCCTTCAGCTACTGTTGCATCACCAGTCTTGTCCATCGTCCATTCAAGCCACGGCATTTCCTGCCCTGACCTCCTCCTCCCCCCCCCCCCCCAGTCGATACGATGTCTCTCTAGCGTTGTGGTCTCTAATCCTGCTCTCGGTGTAATTCCCATCGTGTATCACTCTGTCGTGCTGCTTTGCGTGCTCTCCAGCTTTAAAAAAAAAAAAAATTACGCGTCCTTTGTCAGACTCTGCGTCCGTGATCTGCGTATGCACTGATTCATAACGTTCTTTTTATAGCCCACGTTGCGTCTGGTGTGCACGTGGTAGGGAAATGTAAATTTCCATCAAGAGCAATAATGCTTGATGTTTATTGTCCAGTGTTCTACGGAAATTCGACCACTGTCGGTCGTGGGATGATTGCCATGGGATGATTGGAATAGCTCGCTCACGCGTTACACGCTCAACGCTCGATTGTCCGTACATGGGTCATCTGGGATTACAAGGCTTAACCGTGCTTTTTTGGTGGGGTGGTGGTGTTGGGGGCAATGGAAGATATACGTAAGTACGTATGTTGAACTTCTTTCGTACCGTACGTGACCAACCGTGGATGTGCGAGGGAAGGACAGCAAACTGAGCAGAAAAAAATACATGTAGGAAATGTGAGTTACACCGCGCTCTCATTAGCACCTCGTCCCATGCTTGCCAGTTCGACGGTTAGCTGCTCCTCGCTCGTGACTCGGCGACCGATGACGAGCTAAGGCTTCGTTTCTCACGGAATGTTTCCCAGGTCAACTGGGAAAGGGCAGTGTTTTTGTGACGAGTTGTCGCGGCCCTGTCGTGAAAGCTATACTTGGACGTGGTGTTGCCCGGTGCAGAAATATTTTCTGGGTCGCTCACCGGAGCAGACCCAGATGGGAATTGAGGCCCTGCCTGTTACGTTACGAATGGGTAATAAGTGACTGCACATCGAGGTGAACGATCAATATTTGTGTTTTATCAGCCAATTTACAGTTTTTTTAATTATTATTAATCGTGTTTTTGTTTCTGGGCCATACCTCTGCTCCTCCCCTTATGATCCCGGATAATCGAGGGTTGACTGTACCTGTTGTAAGACGATGTGTGTACTGCTTCATGCCTGGTTCGTGTACCGTGTGAACTCGTGAACTCAACTCGCAGCGCTGCCCATTGCAGCCTGTACTGGTACTGGCGGTGTTGCTGGCGCTCGTTAGGAGCGAGGGGGACTGCAAACCCGCGAGATGAAACGTGGATGATGTCATTCACTTTCACCGTGGTGCCTTTAACAGTGATCGCCATTCACTGCCATAGAAACCTGGACCTTAACTTGATCTTTGGCTTTCACGGAGGTCGGTCTGTTGCCGCGACCGCGATTCGACGAATTTTGACTGTTTGTCCTGACGATTTCACCCGAGAATCGTATTTGGTTTTTTTTCGTGGTGAATGTAGCAGCCTCTGATGGGCAGCGGTGGAAATGCTCACGATGCATGCGTGTACGAATCATAAGCAAATCGATGATTGTACTCACGATTCTACGTGGATAATTTCACCGAAATCGATTTGAATTCATAAACGAATGCAGTGTGACCGCGCTCATCAAATTAAATGCGCAAGTGTCACTTCATTAATAGCAGCTTGAAAAAGTGAATCGCAGTCACATTAATTGACGAGCCCTCTGCGAAATGTGAACGGCCGTCGACTTTATTAGTCGAGTGGTTTTTTTTTTTCTTGAGAGTGAATGGCGTTCAAATCGATAGCCCGCAGCAAACGTGAATGGCGATAGCCTTCATCACTCGACGTTCCACGCAAATGACAATCGCGTGATTTAATATATCTCGGTGACCGCACGACAAGGCCGTTATCTTTCGTGAGAATATTTCTATGAAGGCGGATGGCCGTTCATTTAAACCCCCCCCCCCCCCACCATCTCTGGGGTAAGCTGACTTAACTTTTTTTTGCTACAGCCGAGTTGTTTTACTTGATGAGGAATTGAGAAAATCGTTACGGTTGATAAACAATTGTACGAGCAAAACAATATAAACGTATCGTACTCGCAAATGGAATGAAAATAGCAATGTAACTGGGTAAACGGCGTTCAGTATCGCAATGACTACTGGACGTGTGAAAAAGAGCTTTCATAGCTCAACGGATTCCTCAAGTATAAATAGATATTCTGATTTAGAAAAGTACAGGTTTCCCTCGCTCTGTGCGGATTCGGATTGTGCGATTTCGCGTATGTATGCCAAACCTATTTATACCCAAAAATTCGCTATACAGTACGCAGTTTGAATTCACTCCTGTGCAGCTATGCGCTCGGACGTCGGTGCAACACTGCGTGTACCGTGCGTGTACCGTTTGTGTACCGTTTGTGTACCGTTTGTGTACCGTGTGCACTACTCGGCAGGCAGCTGTCTCATGTGGTTTCGCTTTGTGCGCCCGTTTTGTTGGAACACATCTACAACAACTACTACTACTACTGCACGGAGCGAGGGAAACCTGTAAAAGAAATACGTTATCGCGATCAATTTAGTCCGATCAGGGATTGCTCTGGTCAGGAAGATTTTACTGTGAATAACAGCACATTCATCACATGATGAATTCCAATTTAATCACAGACGGCTCGAATGAGGACAATAATGTGGCAACGCACGTTTAAATTAACAGAGCACGTGAAAATTTTCATCTGATCGCAGACGGATTTTTATCTATATATCGTGAAAGCTTCTATTTAAAACTTTACGTAAATCACAATAACACCGGAAGCCAATCGCTGTTGGGCAAAAAAATATTCCGTTTTGGAAACATGGAAATTACTATACTTTTTGTGAATTATACAAAAAGCTGAGGAATTGTTTTTTATCTTGGTAAAACATTTTCATCTTCTTTGGTTCTTTCGGTAAAGTCACCACATAGAATGAGAATAAAATAATAAAATAAAACAATAAAATTCTCACGACGTTTCAGCCACAACACAAGTGACCTTCAGGTGAAAGGAACGACCTATCGGGACGACAGAGCTCACATTGTAGCTCTGTCATCCCGACAGGTTTGTTCCTTTCACCTGAAGAAGGCCACTTGTGTTGTGGCCGAAACGTCGTGAGAATTTTATTGTTTTATTTTATTATTTTATTCTCATTCTACGTGGTGACTTTACCGAAAGAACCAAAGAAGATGAATCCTTGCAGTCACGAAAGCTTTAAATCATATATATTACATAAGCTGATCGGAGCTAAGTGAGCCTACGAGTCCCTTTCTCAAGGGTTATCTCGAGTTACGAAAGCAAATGCAAAATGAATGTGCACGGCAGTCTACTTTATCATTAGGCCTCCCATGAAAGTGACCGACAGTCGCTTGATAATTGAGCTGTATGGGCAGTCGCTAGTCGACGCCGGTGTGTCAGCGGTTTAAACCGGTATTCTCCCACCTCCCAGCGCCGCGTTTCCCCTTGTGTCGTGCTACTCGCGACGCACCTTTCACGCGCTGTGCGAATTAACAACGCCACTCGCCCACTCCGTTGCTAGCGATCCAACCTCTGATCCCTCATCAGAGTGTACAAACCAACCTCCGATCCTCGGAACCCATTGCGGCACATGATGCCACATTAACCATACGAGTTGTTACACACTGCAAGCGCCTGAAATTTGGTAAACACGTCCCACGTGATTATAGTGAATACCGATTTAATATTGAGTGTCCTCTGACACGTGGACAAAGATCACCTGCATAGCTTTTAACATACTGAAGCAAATGCTGCTAGCGAGTACGTATTAAAGGGTGGTGGGTGGCCAACACCACACTCGCCTCATCTGCCTTTTGTTTTACCACTGCTGAGTTGACCTAGGAGAGGCCCAGGACCGGTTCAGATATTCGCCACTTTTTCCTTAATTCACTGGAATCGAATATGGGTCGCCTGGTTTGTAGCACAGAGCACTAACCACTGTACCACCATTCGCCAATGACGCGTTGATACACTCGCAGTCTCTTAATTTGAAATGTCAATCTCTTAGTTCATGTGGTACACACATGTTAATGAGGTTTTTGAAAAAAATCTTAATTTGAATTGGCTCTCTTTGTCATGTGGCACACACATGCCATGGTACAGTGATTTGACTCTTGACTGACTAAATTAGCACCGCCCAGTGATCCAAGTTTCATTGTCGGCTTTGAACTGAAAAACGATATTTTAACCAATCCTGGGCCCCTCCCCGTTTTACACCAAGCCACTCTGACTAGCGTGGTGAAGTATGGCCAAACAACCCAATGACCTTCATGGTGTTGGGAGACTTTCATTCAGTAGTGGATTAACAAAGGTGTATTAACACATTCCTGCGGAGGGAGCTGGTACGAACGTTGGGTTGCTCGGTCAATGGCCATGGTCAATGGCGGCACGTGATGTATTCCGCAAATATGCCCTTGAGGGCGGGCACAAGCCGGCGTGAGTAGGTTACACGTTGAGTTTTATAAGGACACCACGGGGTGACCAGCCCCTCCCCACCCAGCCCCACCTCTCCCACCCCCCACCCAGCCCCTACCTCCCCACCCAGCCCCTCCCTCCACCACCAAGCTCCTCCACCCAGCCCCACCCCTCCCATTTTTTGATGCATGACGGACGGACGGACACAATAATCCCCTGTGGGCTGGTGTAACCAGGAGGTTCCTACAAGTATTACTGCTACAAACACGATTTCTATCTTAATTCAAATCGGCAC